AATCAAATCCAAATATTAGACCACGAAATTAAATGTAATTAACAGTTCTTTGAAACATTGACTAGTAGATTTTTCAGAAATTTCGGTTAACATTTCCAAATTTATTTCATCCTAGAGAAATATTACGACACTCCTTTACGATTCCCAATGCTGAATTTCCCGAAATGACCTAACTATCGACCCAACATCACATTCTAGAATTCACCCCATCGATCCAACAAACCAAAAGCACACGCTCACTAAGCTTTACACCTTTCAAAAAGCCTGACTAATCTCGTCAGATTTGATCACGGCCACTAATTCGCTGACCGATACACGGGTTCGAATAAACGGACGAGGCCATCGCTTACTGACCTCCGTCAAGCGATGCGCTCGGCGAAAGAAAAGAAAGCGGACACCAGAATCTCCGGCAGCCTCGAATTCCTCCAGGCTGATCCTGCCGTCCGACAGGATAGAAACATCTCTCATTCTCTCTGTTGGCATGGATGGTTTGTCGTTGGAGCGGCGACAAGCGTTCCCCAAACACAGAGGGACAAGGCCAGCCCCCGGGGGTGGAAGGCAACAAGTGACCACAAGCCAGACACACACGGCCATCAGCCTCGTTCTTGTTCGCTTCCCCACTGGTTCTTGTGGTCGTCGACCAGTCGGTAGTTCGTCGACGACAATCGATATATCGACCATCCGCGTCGAGGCAACGTTACGTCGTCATCGAGGTGCACGTGAATCGCCTGAACGTGCGTTCATGTGCGTGCGCCCGCTCGCACGCCTTCACAAGGAAGGGACGGGGAGAATCAGTGTCTTACGTGGGTTGTGGTAGGCCACGGACGTCCGTTCATCCGTCTTTCGTGCCCTTCGAGGACCAGCTACCGATGTTACCCTGAAAAACGACTGTTTTCTACTAACCGACCCACCTTAAATATAGATGAGCCACTTATTTGTTAAATCGATTAACTCCAGGAAACAAAAATTGGGAAAATTAATGAAATTATATAAGACAGACATAGAGCAAGTGTTTTGACACTAATATTCCTGAAATTTTAATCACTTTGGTATGCGAATGATTCGGATATCGAGTTCTAACGTCTAGCAAAGATTTCTACTGGGTCGACTGTTTGCTAGAATGATGTGCTTACATACGTACACTCTTATATGCTGTGTCTAATTAGATTTATCGATGGCGTCATTGAGACGTAGGGTAGTTGGAGTTTGGAGATAAAGTCGGTCGTCGATCGATTAGATAGAAAGTTGGAAATGGAATGAATACGTGGTAAATAGTTGGTTGAGAAGTAATTTTGACGATTGGATTGATTTTAATTGTTGGAAATTTTTCTCCTTATTTTACATCGGATTTCCAGGTTCGTGTTCTAACTTGGATTAACCTAAGTAAATCGAATTTATTCCGGTATTGCCATAGTTTCTTTCAGTTCATACGTAATCGAAACCAATTCGACAAGCTCCAATCGACAAATCATAGATAAACAAATTATCGTCAGTAAGCCATCGCAACAATGATTCACCCTACTAACCCTCGAACCAACCACCTCAGCGTCGAGGAAAACAGTCGAACACCCACGATATAGCCTCCTACTCGTCTCCGTCGCTCGACAAACAGTTTCCCGCGTAAATTTGCTAACGAATGAAAGCAAAGCTTCCAAATTACCCAGAAAATCCACAGAAAGCCCAGTATCTGATGGAATGCTGACGAAAATTCGATAAAGTAGACCAAGAAAGGGATGTGACAGGGTGACCGAAGGAAAACACGAAAACCACTGTTATTTCTTTGAGATTTTATACGGCGGCGTCCCGATATGGCAATGTTTTAGCGTATTGATCCGTTGGGGTTTAGTTGAGCCATGGCAAAAGTGGCGGGGATAGTTGCCACGATAGGGGCGAAGGGCGTCCGGCGGGGAGTAAAAACTGGACGGCGGCACTTACCCGCTCATAATCACCCCCCGAGCCACTCGAGCCACCACCTTCGACGCC